AAAAAGACGTGGTTTTCTCTGTTTCTTGAGGGTTTCAGACGCCCCGCAGGGTCCTTTTGGGTCCCGGTTCGACTAGCCCCGCTCTAACTTGCTTGCTTACAAACACACTGTGTCTCTCCTTTTCTTCTCTCTGGGTGCCACGAGCGCCGCAGCATCCCGAGGGGATAGGCGCAGCTACTCTGCCAGAGCCGCAAAGAGCAGCTGAGCGACGCTCTGCGGCTCGAGGGCGTCTCCGACGGCACTGATGAAATGTCAAAGTGATGAAATGCCATGATGGCACCAACAAAGACTGAATGCGGACTGAATGCGGCAACCACTTTTATCTTTTCTGAAACTGGCTAGATTTAGCTGAACCACTTGTGGACCAATGGTATGGCCTCCTGGTATCCAATTTCATGGATACACTTAGAAAGTTGGGTTGACTCAATGACCTCTGGCTCCTGGCCTGGTGCCTGGTACACCCTGTACAGGGTCATGACGGTCATGGATGTGCGACACAAACTGTGTACAACAGCCCACTTGGACCTCATTCTACCATCTGGATTTGGTAGTGGCCTTGGATACCTTCGTTGGTTAAAGCATCAAAAACAAAGTCTACAGAATATTAGAGTTGAACAATAGATAAAACATCTGGTCAAGTCACGTTTGGCTGGTTCCATCACTGAAGTGCAAGACCAATTTGAGCTCGTTGGCCTCCCCTGTCAAGGCATAGTCATCGATCTGGATGGTACCAGCTGACATGGCTACAAACCTCTGGAAACCTTGCTTGTATGGATAGCTAAAATGGCTACAACAATGTAACCTACACATGATTCATAGTTACAAATAGAAAGCAAGAAAGCACACGCTCAGTCCACGCGTACACCATATCCCGTTCCTCAAGCAACCAATCAACCACATACACTTAGTGAAGATGCTGACGTGATCCCACAAATATCGTCGCAAGGCCCTAGCAGCGGTAGCCTCGATGTGACCACAGGTAAGCAACCCAAGATCACGATCTGAGAACATGCTAGCTTGTTTGCCATCCCTGCAAAACAAGGATGCTCTTAAGAAATTACTAGTTCGTTGACTTCTGCACGACAAATCACCGGGTGGGTAAGGTCCCATTTCAAAAACATCTCCGGCTCTGCGGGCGCGGTTGCGCGACGCGCTGCCGCCGTGTGTTGCGCCCCGTGGAGCTCGTGCCGCCTTTGAACTCACCCCAACCGTCTTGCTTTCCTGGGTGTGGTTGAGCGACGCCCTGCTCACACGTATCGACCTCCACGGTCACGCCTGCCACGAACCGTGCCCAACGCAAAACAAAAACCTACAAGCAAGACACTCTGCCCCCGCGACGCTCGCTTCTCCCCGTGCTCCGCGGTTGCGGTTGCTACGCGCCCGCAAGGGTACAAAAGATAGCAACACTCTACCCCTGCAGCCTTGCCCTCTCGGCTTGCGCGCGCGTTCTCTGCGCCTCGCGCCGTCGGAGAGCGCAGCCCACCAACTCCTGGGGCGACGACGCAGTCGACCGCGTGGAGTCCGGGCATGTCCCTGTTTTCACACTTGGCATACCTGCGCATGCCCGTTTCCTTCAGCCCTTGCTCTCTTTCCACCTGCGCACGCTCTCTTGCTCGAACACCCCCCTGCCCGGCAAGAAAAAACATGTCCTCCTGCCGTCGGTCTGCTGCGTGGTTCTCGGTCGCGGCAGACACCTGCTTGCGCTCGCGCGACGAACGGCGGACGCGTCGCGGACACAAGCAGCTGTCCTCGATCCCGTGTGCTCTGACTAGGGTCCTTTTGGGTCCCGGTTCGACTAGCCCCGCTCTAACTTGCTTGCATACAAACACCCTGTGTCTCTCCTTTTCTTCTCTCTGGGTGCCACGAGCGCCGCAGCATCCCGAGGGGATAGGCGCAGCTACTCTGCCAGAGCCGCAAAGAGCAACTGAGCGACGCTCTGCGGCTCGAGGGCGTCTCCAACGGCACGTCGGCCGGCTAGACGAAGCCATTGAGCGACGCTCTGCAGCTCCTCTCGGTCACGCTCGCTCGGAGCGACCGCTGGCCACTGAACGACGTTCTGCGGCTTGGCTCTTCACTCCAACCTCTGCAACACTCGGTTGGAGCGACCGACTGCCACGCCGGATTCGGCCTGCCGCTTGGTCACTCTTTTCTTTGCTCCTCCGTACTGGCGCTCGATGTTGGTGGGATCCAAGTCGAACTTCAGGGCTCGGGCGCCACCCAGTGCGATCAAAAGCCTCGACGGCTGACCCTGCTGCCTGGCGGCCTCATTGAAGTGCAGGCAGATGCACTCGAGCACGGCCTGCCGCCCTGCGGCGTCCAAGCTGTTGGCGGTCTCCTCGACCGCGTCCACCACCAAGCGCACCAAAATGGTGCTGTACAAGCTCGCCCTGTCCACGTACTCATAGGAACCTCTTGCACAGAGCCAGCGCGTACAAAGGGTCTCCCTCCGATCCATCGTGCGCGGCCCACTCCACGTTCTCCGACCGTGTCAGGTCGTTCCACGTGGCGCCCTGCGCCGAACGCTGCCGAACGACGTTCTGCAGCACGCTGGGCAGCGCATGGGCGTCCTTCAGCGCCGTCGCCAACATAGGCCGGTTGCCCGAGATGGACGGTCCCAAGATGCCTGTCAGCCGGCGGAAGAAGTCAGCGATTTCGCCGGTGGCGCGCAAAGCTGCGTCCAGCAGCGTTGGCTCGGGGGGTGCCGCTGGGAGCACCGCTGCCGCTGCAACCACGCGATCTCGCGCATCCTGCTCTGCCCAGACGCCCACCTCACTATCGCGACGGCGGGCGCGCCCCCCCCCCTCCACAAACACCTGTAAGAAATATACACCTTTTACCTTAAAAAAATATCCTTCCAAGTTTTATCTTTTTCGCCCCTTTCGGCTCGCTGTCCTGGTTCCCTCCCTCCCGCCTTCTCCATCGTCTGCTCCGCCGCGGCCATAGCCTGGCCGATCTCCTCGGCGACCGCAGGCGGGAGCGCTTCTGTTGCCTGTGGCCTCTCGTGGTTGCCCTCGAAGTGGTTTCGGACTTCATTGGTGCCTTGGAAAAGAAGTTTTTGCCTCTTTCTGCTTTTGCAGAACAAGCACGAGAGATAGCCCTCCCGTCGGGTCGCTTCTCTCAGGCCTTGCACCGTGAAGATCTCCACCTCTGCCCGAGTCAGGCCCGCATACCAACTTTGCCCCGTCGCCACTGCCAGTATCCGCTCCAGGCCCTCCGGAGTGATAGTCGTCTCCAGTGGCGGCACCTCCCCCTGGTTTGCCGCAGGTTGGGTTGCCGCGCTCGGCGTCTCCTGCAACTGCGCGACGCGCTGCTGCGCTTCGGCGCTCGGCGCGGCGCTGCTGCTCGGCGCTTCCGCGGGTGGCGCGCTCGGCGCTTCGGGGGCAAGACTGCCAGGCTGTGGCTCCGGCTGAGCTACGCTCTGCGCTTCTGCCCGCTGTGTCGCGATGGCTCCCAGGGCGACCGGTAGGAAACCTTTCTTCCAGCCCCACGCCCGGGTGGCGGCATACCTTGTGCCACCAGTGGTGAACATGAAGTGACCATCCACGGGAAATTCCTCCCCCAAGCATGTGCGCTCACGTCGGTCGCGCTCGGCTTTCCCCTGCCCATCCATCTGCTCCTGGACAAGGTAGATGGGGCCAAGGGTGGGGCAGAAGTTCCACCCTGGCACTGGGTCCTTGCCGAGGTCGCGCCGCAGCTCTGCCCACAAAAACTCGCAGAACAACAGGTATCGCCTCAGGTGACTCTGCGACGTGCCCAGCGCATGTCCCACCGCTCTGGCTAAGAGCGGATGCTTCGCGGACGCGTGCCAAATGTTCCCCTGGAAGATATGTTTGCGGCTTTGTCCGATGCTGAGGAGGAGGTGCGGGACTTGCGACAAATCTCGCACCTCCGTGGGCGGCTCGACGCGCTGGCCCGAGGACTGCGGGTGATCCTCCCGGTTCGTCTGGAACAACTTCGGCGGCGCCAAGTCCAAGGCCTGTGCCGTCTTGGCCCATGCCCGCTTCTTGCTAGAGTGCGCCGAGCAGGCCCAAAGGAACTCACTCCACGACTGCGTCTCGCAGAGCTGCTTCACGACAAATGCCTCCTGAAAATTCTCCACCTCGTTGCAGTTCCACCCGGCACAGATCACCACGGCGACCCAAGCCCCGCTGCCCCCGGTTGAGCGACGCTCTGACGCGGGGGCTCCCTCAGCACCGGCTGAGCGACGCTCTGCTCGACGCACTTCCAGCTCGGCTCGCCCCGCCTCTACTGCCTGCTCCATGCTCTCCGACGCGGAGGCAGGCAGATTTGGCCTCTCCATAGGCACCAGGGACTATCTCCAAGATGCTCTTGCTCAACTCCGTGACGCCACATGCCAGCCGCGCGACCCCGAGGGCCTCATACCGTGCCCCTCGCACGGAGTCGCGGGCTGGCACCACGCCCACTTCCACCTCCACGTCCCCTCCATGGGTCTCTTCCCCTCGAGGATGTTCGTGCCATCCTTCTTGCCAGGCTTCACAATGCTGCCCCCACTAACAATGCTCGCAACCGTCTCAACGCCCCCACACTTGCGAAAATCCATCGCAGCGTCTCCCAACTTTTGCCCGGGCAACCAACCGTAGCCCGTCGAATCCACCAACAAGCGACGCTCTCGGTATGTCGGCTGCGCGCACCGCGGCGCCGCCGGTCTCCATGGCTTCAGCCGACCCAGAGCAGAGAGAGAAAAAAAAAGATCGAGTGTGCTTGGTTGCTCTTGCTTTCCTACGCTAGCGGTCTCCTAGCTTCGTCCTCTGACTCTCAGACTTCGACGCTGGTTGCTTCTGGTGTCTTGGTGTTGAGGGCTTTGTTGCTCTGCTTTGCACGTGCTCCTGCCCTGCTCACACGCCCCCCCGCTGAAGCCGAACACAAAATGCAAAAAAAGGTCAGGTGTGCTTGGTTGCTGTTGCTCTCTAACCCTAGCCGTCTCCTAGCTTCTCTTGCACTCTACTCTTTGCCATCCTATCACTCTGGGAGTTCAGCGCTGGTTGCTTCTGGTGTCTTTGGGTTGGAGGCTGTTTCTGGCTTGCACATGCTCTTGCTCTGTTCACACACGTCTTGCCAGTAACTACTCTCTGCAGCATGCTGTCCAAGTCCTTTGCCACTCTACGTCTCCACCTTGCGGCGTCGACGCCTCGACCCCCAACCTCTCCGCCCCCGCCGGCCTCGCTGGCGCATCAGCTTGCAGACAATGTCCTTGAGGGTGGAATGACGTCTGCCTCTCCTCACCAGGGCTGTGGCTGGCTGGCATGAGTGACGCTCTTGTTGCCAGCTGACAGCTGCCGCCTCCCAGCATGCATCGCGCTCCACGTGCCTCCTCTCTCTCCGACGGCTCTCCCGACTTTTGGTTGCTGCAAGCAACCAGGGCATGACTGCCCCCGTCCCTCGGACGGGTGCTGCCGGGGTGCCCCAAACCCTGGCCCCCGTCTTCTCCGTGGAAGACTCCGTGAAACCGTGGCGGGTCCCTTACCGACACCACACCCCGCCAACACCGCGAGCGACCCCTACCGTCACCTCGACCCACACCTCTCTTTCCCAAGTACGCCGGCGCCCGGCTGTCAGGCGTAAGCCTTTAATATATATATATATATATCTGTGTGTGTGTTCACCAAAACGACATGGGGAACTGCAAGCCATGACAAACAGAAATGGCTCCCCTAACCCCGCCTTGAGTCGAGCACACGCCTGGCACAGCCCTGCGAGCGCTGGCCTTAAAGGACATCACTAAAGCCAAAGCAAAGACCTATGAAGCAAAGCCTTTGGAACACATGGCAGCAATTGGTAAAAACCCTGCGCAAGGAACACCATCTTCCCAAAAACCATGATCTCCAATGCATGTTTGACGAAATGATGATGGCGGTCTAGTTGTGTATATGTATATATCTAAAATGATATAAGATTATCTAATATACAAAGTAATATACATCAAGCAAGTGGGAAGTTCCCCAGTGGGAAGTAAAAACCATTGAACAATTTGCATCTCACTCGTAACAGCTCACTTTTTACCTACCGCATCTCCAAATACTGATGAACACCAACGAACACAGCTCAATCAAGTAGATTTAGCTCAGCAAATTCGATTAGTGAAGGTGAACCATTGTGAACGACCCTAAAAGTAACATCCCCTTGAGAAGCCGGCGGCGTGGGTCCTGGATAGCCATGCAACAAGAAGGTTTCCGCCTGGTGGGTGTTGGGCTCTGAGCTCTTGCACCTACCTTTGAAAGTGTAGCCACCAAAATTCAGATTTGTGTACTTGAGGCTGTAAGTACCACGCAAACACACTCTGTGGGACGAGTCTTTTTGCTAGTGTCAACATTCTGTTTTTGACATGTTGTTGGATATTGGCCACGTGGAAAACACCTTCACAAGTTAATGCTTGAATGGTTCTGTTCTAAAGCTTCACCCAGCTCAAACTGGCAACTCAACTGTTCCCCATTGTGACAGCCTGCAGGGACACCATCTCAAAGAAAGAATAGTCCTGCAGGATTGGCATTGAAGTCAAGGCCGGAGTACAAATAGACAGGCTTGGAACCTTGCCGTACTTGATTTCAACAGATCTTTAAATGGCAGCAGGGCCTACACTACAAACTACAACTTGAGCAAACAGCCTTTGTTGAGGAACTTTCTGATCTTTCTGTCAGCTTGGAAGAAAAGGGGTCATCCCATGGACAAAGGATGACAGCAGTGGATCAAACATATAATATAATATATAGATCCAACATGATCTAAATACATATACAAGCATGTCTCCTGACCATTAAGGTACAAGTAAAGCAATTAACAGCCCAAAGCAACTCTTTACTGTTCATTCAAAACCTTTCACATATTCAAGTTTGATCGTGGTGATTTGCCCTCGCCGACTCTTCCATCTCCTGAAACTTCAGTTGAGCAAAGGCTTCGGCCAGCTCCACCAACTGCGAAAAGCTGGGACATGAACCGGGAATCACCTGGCTTGCAGACAATTCAGCACATGGACTTTCATGCTTGGACTTCAATCTCAAAGATTCCAGGAACATTGGCTTTCTTTATGGCGAATATGGATCCGGTAGATTTGCCGCATCTCTCATTCACTATTCATTGGATTCTTCATTTTGGGAGAGATGGACACTTCCCTTTCTGCAATAATGCCATGGTAGCGCTTCGAGACTGCAACATATGCATATTCATATATATATATTATACTATAGTATAATATAATATAGTATAATATAATATAATACAACATAATATAATATAGTATAATATAGTATAGTAATAAGGAGCCAGGTAGTCTGCATCCTCTTTTGAGGCTTCACATCAAAACGGCACCATCGCCATCCTTTGAACATCCTCCACCAATCCTTTCGACATGACCCGCGTGTATCTGGTCTTGGCGCATGCCTCTCCGGTGCTAGCCTGCTGAACCCGCACTTGGGCCTCAAGCTTGCCACTGTATTTGGTTTCACAAGCCAGCCATGCTCCTACTTGGTCCTACTGCCAAGCCCTACACCCATTTCAAGAATTAAATTAGGATATTTAGGACCTCATTAGGGTCTTCAAATACAGCACCTGAACAATTTCTTTCCAGCTCTGCTTTTCCCACGGCGGTCTCAACTATTCTTGGCTGACTCCACCAGGTACCCGTACTTGAGCGGACAACTGCCTGGAGGGAGCAAACGAGTCGTCATGGTTTCAGAATGGTTTCACCAGTCTTCGCCTCTTCGAAGTGGCCTCCTTGCGAATTCTCTACCAATTAGCTTATTGTTATTACTAGTAAGGCACTTGTTACTAGAAGCGATGCACTTGTTCCTAATAGCTTATTGTTACTACTAGTAAGGCA